TTATAAATCCAGGTCCACCTTGCGGAATAGAAGCAGCGACCTCGTGAATCCAGGGCATATTACCTCATGGGTAGAGGCTTCTCCTCTTACAGAAGAAGGAACAACCTTGCTGATAGTGGCTTCTCCTGATCTCTAGACACGCATCCCTTCCAAAACAGCAGAAACCTTTGCTACCAGCAGCCTTGCTGCTTGTGGATTCGTGTGCTCTTTAGCTATCCAATCTGAACGGTGTAGCTACCCAATCTGTAAGGTAAGGTTAACTATCTATAAAGGTCCACACTGACAGGGAAGTTGGTGCTTCTCAATAGGAATGGATGCCCTTCCACAATCAGCATAATATGACCTTACAAACGAGGAGCTTGTGGTCTGAAACTGAAAGCAATCCATAAGCAATCAATAAGGATATGGCAGCGAAGTACCTTCCAGTTTCTGGATTACCAAAAAACGTGCTTCTTAGATGTGACGTGGCTCAGCTCTGGCATACTTGAAGTTGACGTTGCACTGTGACAGCTGCTGCAAGTTACAGTTTGCCATCTGGATCAGATCAGTTTTCCATCTGCTTCCATCTGTCTCAATTTGTAGGAACCACAGACTTGTAGAATGCATGAGAGGACTTAAGTGCTACGGCTAGTGCATACTTACTAGGAGCATAGAACGTTTCGTGGAGGTGGAAGTTGATCCCTGTACCGACGGGGATCGGCACATTGCTCTACAGTGGATGACCGAGGGGAATCACTATAGTAGGACTGATTGTAATCCAGCAAGTTCTCAAAAAATGTGTTTCATGCTTGGTATCTGAGAGGTAATTCTAGTTGAATATATACTGCTTATGTTCTCAACCTTGTTGGTGGTACTATACTGTATCAAATGCATAAACAGTGGCATGGAATATGTTAGCACAACCCAACATAACCTCAAACTTCGAACCAACGAACACTTCAAAGATATCCTGGACCTCCTGGACAACAGCCAAACATCGGACTCATTTGCAAGACACATTGCCGACGTATTCAAAATGACGGACCCTATGCACAAAGACGTCCTACAGAACAGTGTCAAGTGAGTGTTCTGTGGCAAGGCAATCCGATAAGCTGCATCAAAACCTTCCAGACTCGACACTGTCAACTCTGCAACAAGGAAAGACTTGAAATACTTTGACCTTCTCGAGAATCAGGTGAAAACAATGATCAACACACGCAACAAAATTTACTGCGCCTGCCGACACAATTCAAAGTTTCACAAGTACATATAATTTAGCCCAGCACTGATGAGTCTCAGAGAGGTGATTAAACAGTCATGCCAAAACCAAAAGGTAACCACAGAGGCTGAAGCCTGTGTTTTTGTGATTTGACGGTTGGTAAAATTTGCTAAAATTGTATGACTCTAGCTGGCGGCTAACTAGCTGCATCTCAAAGTCAACTAACTATCGTACAGCATTCAGAGGAGCTGAAGGTTGCATTGTACTGCTGCACTGCTGCTCAGCACTGTCACAAGCAGGCCCTGCTGAACTACACCTCAAACTCAAGTGGCATTTGATGGTCAGAGTCCTCCTGCTGGGTTTCAATCAGATGGTCTGTACGTCCCTCAGAACTCTCCACATCTCTCAACAAATCTTTTGCATCCTGGAAACCCATATCACTTCTTAAGAAAACTTTCCATGGACCGTGTTTGGCAGCAGATGCCACCGATCCAGTAGAAGCATAGCATCCAGGGTGCAGAATGCCAGCGACATGAGTGTCTTCCAAGGTCAGCCCATTTCCATCAACATAGTGTCCACTCAAATGGGAACTGTTGCACTACGCTAAAAGCTAGTGTAAAGATCTTTCGAGTGTTTTGTGTTTGAGAGAATGAAAGTTATGAGAGAGATTAGAAAGCTATGAAAACTAATCAACGAGAGAGATCACCATCAAAGGATCGTAGATCTGGTCTCCCGCGGGAGACTATAAAGTGTGATAGAGTAGGTTGCGGTAGTAATCCTACGTATCTCCACGATCCTAAAACGGAACGCGTGGAAGATTCGTCTAGCATGGATCTAGTAGCGTGGAAGTACTCCACGCTGGCTAAATATCTAGAGCGATGTTTCATCATCAACCTAGTATGACTAGAGCGGTCATTGAGAACCCTGTCTCAATAACTAGTCACGAGAGACTCAGTCATGAGTCGAACTCAAACCCTATCTAGGATCGAGTCGCGAATAAGGCTAAGAGCCGTGTATTGCACTGTCCACAAGTACATCTCCTTTGAAGTGTAGTTTACCATACTCATATAGTTCGTCACCAAAGTACCAGAGGTCCCCACTGACTTCAGCACCCATCAACTTGGCATAGTGGGCAAACATTGGTGTTCCATAAAGGAGCTTCTCCAACAAATTGCCAACACGAAAGACCCATACAGTATTTATATAGACTCCAAAAAAACCGAGCTTCAGATGGTTTGGCAATGTGAAGAGTATGATCTCAACAACTCTTGTCAAGAGTATCCAAACAAACCACTGAAGCACAAAAGCTGTGCCCAACCCAACTGCAGTAATGACAGATGATGAACTGGTTGTAGCTGCAAGACCAACCTCAAAGGAAGGTATAATGGATGCAAAAAGAGCCACATTCAAAAAAATGTGTAGCAGTTCTGTCTGTAGTGTGACAATATTAGGCTTGGACAAACCATGGCTTGATTGCTGGTTCAAGTCATAAACACTTTCAGACACATCTGACCTTGGAGGAATTGTAGACTGCATGATCTTGACACCGGAATGAAGATTAGCATTGTAGCCAACACTGCTGTTGATGATCTCAACCTTTCCTTGCTTGTTCAAGTCAAGTGAGATGGCTGAGGCAAAAGACTTTTGGATCTTCACAAAATCAACCTTTGAGGGTTGGAAATGTACATAGAGACCATTTACGCGAGACTCCAAGTCAATGTGAAGGCCATGGAGGCGGAAGAAGATAATGTTCCAGACTTTTGATGCACCACAGAATGGAGCAAGAGTAAAACCAGCTGCACGGAAATGGAAGTCACACGCCCAGTTGGTTGCGCGGTGGTAGAGTGAGTCCTCGTACTCATCTGATGGGTCCCGCTTTCCAATCAGAAGCCACTTGAGGGCAATGCTGGAGCAAAGTGCCAGCATGGAAGTGAACGGCAACAGCAGGATCCAATGAAGAACACCTCCATACCGCCATGAGGGCAAGATCTGTTGAAGCACAATACTACCAACAAAGGCAAGCATAAAAAAATGGTATACCTCAAATATTGTCCAGACCGCTTTGAAGACATCCAGCATGGACTCCCCCACATCAACGGATTCTGTATGATTGAATGAGCCCGCATTATATGCAGGTTTTCCTTGGGCAAGGACACTCTCAGGAACAATGGCTCCCTCTTCAACAACAGACAATGTCTCCACCTTGCTGCCATCTCCAATCTTTTCCCCAGGACTGATCATGCCAGAGATTGTGCAATTCTCTCCAACAGCAATTGGGGAGAAAGCTATCTTAGGGCATCCTCTGAGTAAGCGAACTTCCTGCACTTGAGAGAGTGACCAATAGTAGCATTACTGCCAATATGGACAAGATCAAATTCTCGGATGTAGGATTCAATCTTGGCAGTCCAAGCCAAGTCAACACCAAGCAGCCAGTAGAAGATCCAAATGAACCTTGTCTTAACAAAGAAGTGCCCAACCAGTGACTCCCAAACATCCACGAGCCTGTCCATAAACCACCACTGAACATAGTCCCATGACAAGAGATCAAACTGCCTGGGTAAATACTTCCCAACAACTGCAAACTTGCAGATAATCACAGCTACTGAAAAAGACAGCATGAATAGAGGGACAGTCATAGGCAAAAGCATCCAGAATATTGGACAATGCCTCTCGTCACCATTCATTGAGGAACACTGTTCCATAACCCAGGAGACAAGGAAATAGGATGGAACAACTGCCATTAAAACCAGCAGAAGAATCACACTTGAGCCAAGAGTTTGGAGCACACCCAGCTGGAGCTTGCTTATTTTGGATCTTGATGAGTTCCAAAGGAAATTAGGGTGATCATCTGTATCTTGCTTGGGGAAGCTTTTGAACTCTGATGCTTTCAAGAAGATTGAAAGTTCACTTGGTGTTGGGTAGAGCTGTTCAAAGTTGGCAGGAAGCACCACATGTAACACTTCCTCTACCATCTTCCTAAGCTCAGCACTCTTGAGAGATGTGAGTCCATTATCAGTCCATATTTTTGATGTGTCCACGTCAGAACCCAAGACAGATATGATGGTGTTGGCATATCTGGTTAGGAATGGGTCTTTAGCAGCAGCAGCCATTTTTGAAGCTTTGGTATCAGATTTTTTGTGGCTTGCCTGGCTTTTTTGGTTTTCTCTTCCCCATTGGTCAAACAGGGAAAACCAATCTTCTTCATTGAGTGTCATTCCATTGTCTCCACCCGGTGGTGGGTGAGTGCTTCCAAGCTGTTGAGCCCAGGAGAGGTTCAACTTTCCAAAAATTTGGAGTGCTCTTCTTGACAGGATTGATTTGCTGTAGAATTTGGGAGACATCGTTTTCCTTCCAATGGTATGAGAAACCAAGTACAAACTAGTGACCCTGGCAAACAAAAAACCTTCATTGACATCTCCAACAAGGCTTGGCAGCAGCAACTTGGAAAGCAACCAAGTAGACGAGTCTTGGTCACCAATCCCTAGATTGCAATAGAGGAGTAGGAATGACTCGAGGAGTGAGGTTTGGCACTAATCGAGATGACATCACTGAACAAGCCAACTTACAGGATACAAAATGCATGTTCCAAGCAATGTACAGATCATTCCAGGTAGACGTCGAATGTTCAAGCAGAACCATTTTGGATTTGGCTGTAGCTGCCAAAATGGGATACGTTGCCAGAACCCTACCAACCTCAGCATTGTCCTTAAGCCCGTTACTCTGTTCAAGCCAAACAGCCTCCACCAAATTTAAGCTCAAAAGGTTGTTGAATCTTTCAACTTGTGCGTTGACAGCTGGGTCATCACATGATCCCAAACTCTGGTGGATCAGCTTCAAAAAGGGTGCGAACTGACCTGTTTTTCATCCATGTGAAGAATGGCCACGTTCCATGCATTGGGTCTTCCTCCGGTAGGCCAAGCAGCTCTTGTAGTTCCACTGGAACTGGTAGAATGCTCTGGCTCGTGCTTTCCCATTCTGCATCATTCTGCAACTTTTGTTGCATGCACTCAGGATGACCCATCATGAAGGTTGTCACCCATTGAAGAACAAATACTTGGTGCACAAGCTGAAAAAGAAAATCTGTCCTGTCCTCAATCAAAATCCAATCGGCTTTTTCACTAAGGGTGTGAGCAAGCTGGCAAATTGTGGGTTGCTTGTCCTCAAGGTGTTTCAAAAGTTGAGAGCACATGGTCTTCATTGCTTCTGTTGTCTTTACACCTTTGGACCAAGCTTCGCAAATATCAGGGATTTCATCAAGATTCAGCTCAGGGTAGTAATCATCCAACTTGTTAGGATTGCACTCTACAGCATGAACAGCTTCAACAGCTTTGCTGGGAAGTGTATTTGTTTGGCCAAAATCAATATCAGGAAGCTCAACAGATCCAAACAGTGGTGTCTTTGATCTTCTCCTGATTTCATGTTGAGTTCCTTCTGACAAATAGAACTCACCGCCCTTGAGGACAACAACCTCTGAGGCAAACAGCCCATGGAGTTTTGCAACGTGGTTGGCAATCTTGATTGTCAAATCTTCATTTGCTGACTTGTCAAAGTCCTTGCGGCCTTCGACTGTGATACCAACACTGTCCTCCCCGTGTTGGAAGGCAGTGGTCCTGCCTGGACGGATAAGATCACCAAAGAGATCATCGATAGACAGCTCCACATCACTTGGGTAGTAGTTTTTGCCATTGATAATGATGACATCTTTGACCCTTCCAGTGACATAGAGCTGTCCATCAACAATCTTGCCCAAATCACCAGTGTCTAGCCAGGTCCCATCATAACCAGGTAAGACATTGGCAAAGGTGGATGTAGTAAGCTCAGGTTGGCCATAGTAGCCAGCTGTCACGCTAGGTGAATGGGCCCAGATACTCCCAACCTGTCCATCCTCAACCTCTTTGCCATCCTGGACAATTCGAAGCTTGATGGTTGGTGAGTCCGCTTTTCCACAGCAGACAAGACCTTTAGAGTCTGGCATGGCTGGCCCCCCAGTAAGCCACACAACTGCCTCTGCAAGGCCATAGAGGTTGTGAACAACTCCTGGCCTGACTGATAGAGTCTTGGCTACATCCTCCACAACCCGATGCTGGGTAGGTTCAGCACTAAACCCGGCAAACTCCAAACAACTCCAGTCAACAGTCCTTTTGGCATTCTTTAATTGCTTTAGGAGCAAGGCATATGCAAAATTAGGGGCACAGGTATGGGTTGCCTGATATGTCTCAATCATATCGGACCAAATAATTGGTTTTGATAGGAAGTCCAGTGGCGAAGTCAAGACAAGGGGGGCACCAGCATACAGGCAGGACATGAAACCACCCACAATTCCCATATCTATAAGATTGAGTGAAAGGTTAAGCATCAACTTCTTGGCATGGCACAAGCATCAATAATGTGTTTCTTCAAAACTTACCATGGTATTGAGGTACGCATAATACGGTCACTGAAGTAGAAGTCATCCGGGATCCAGTGCCAATGGTTCTGCAATTTTGTGCTAGGTTGTGGTGGCGGACCATGACTCCTTTGGGGCGACCTGTGCTTCCCGAGGTGTATTGGATGAAACAAATTTCGTTTGGCTCTCCCATGAAGGTTTCATAATCTGTGGGTTTGTTTGAGTTACATTTCTTGACTTTGAGCTTGTCTGTCCCGATCCACTTCACTCTGGTCTTGTAGAGGACACTGGCTGCAGTCATTGCAGTAGCAAACCTGTTAGTCGAGAGAGCATACTTGGCTCCAGCATCCTCGGCAAATCTGCGGAATTTGGGCATATCAGTCTTGAGCTGATTGGGATTGGGTGGGTAGATGGAGCAAGGGATGACTCCGACTTTCATGGCACCGAACATGCCAGCCAAGAACTCGAGGCCAAAGGGATATGCGATCATGACACGATCCCCTTTTTTGCAGCCAAGCTTGAGCAGACGAGCCGACACGGCATTAGATTGGTCTTCCAGCTGCTTGAAAGTCATCTTGTCCTGTTCCTCACACTTGACGTTGACCCAAGTAAAGACGACCTTGTCTGGGGTCTCCGAGGCATGGTGATTGAGAGCCTCGACGATGGTTGAGAATAACTTCATTTTGGCTTTCATGGAGGGGGGATAGCCAGGAGCTTCGAAAAAGAATATGGGTAGCTGTGGGGATCAATTGATGCTCGCTTCCCACCTCGAAGTGTTGATTGAAAGGGACAGGATGTATGCATATGCATTGCCACAGCCAGTGATTTGTGCAAGTGAGAATCATGCATGCATGCATGCATGCATGCATGCCAGATAGGCAGAGCCTTTGGGTCAAATTTGCAGAAACGGCAATATAAAGCCAAGGTAAGCTTATTTAGCTGTCCCGTCGATGCATATTAGTACTCCAGAGTATATCGAATGGCTACTACTCGAGGGGTTACGAGTAGCTCACATCATCTTCCGCTTGGTTTGGTTTCTCCTACATAGCACGCTTCCATGTTGATCTTGCGTCAGAAAGTTTCTCGATTCCGTGTTATTCTTGCCTGTCGCAAGGATTGGAAGTCGGCTTTGTGACCATGTGGCGGATTTCTCTAATTCCTACCTTTACTATTAGGAAGCTCTTCGTGGAGTTTACAGCAATGCAGAGAAGGAATTACAGGTAAATGTGCGTATTGCAGCTTCAGGAATCAGGAACTCTGGCTCGTGTGGGTAGCTTTTACTAGTACTACTTGTAGTTCAATATCGCTGTGCAAACGCATGCCAACAAGGTATTTTACCTTGCAAGTATGCATACTGGTACAGCTACGTAGACTAGCTACTAGCATGTAGGACATCATAGTACAAAGTAATTATTGAGTCGAGTCACAGTCTGCCTTTGGAAGGTTTTTAGGTAGTATTAAAGCATTAAGGGAAAGCGAATTCCCCAAAGGATTTTAAAGTACTGTACGTAGACTTGTAAAGGCCAGTTTTACTGGAGTGCAGATTGTAGACCTGCAGCCTGCAACCATGCCATGCTTCTCCAAGCAAGGAACTGGGGAAAAGGAGAAGAAACGAGAAACCAAAGCCGAAGGTTGTAGCTCTGGAGTGGACTTGACTGTCAACTCCAAGGCCTTTTGACCTTGCTTTTAAAACCCACAACCCACCTTCCGCTTTGTATGATAGTCGAGTGCGGCTACATACATGACATTGGATCGGATCGGATGCTTCTTTGACCGGAGAGTGGGTACCTGGGCGGTACATGTATCCTCGCAACATGCAACGAGTTCCATGAGCGCAAGAAAAAACAAATCTTGTTGGCCAATCTTGAGTTTTCTCCTGCTACGTGTACCGTAGATATTGAATTCAAGAGAGAGACCAAGGCTTCAAACAATCGCTCGGAAGACTGTCTTTGTGGCAGGACCGCCTCGCCTAAGTAATCGGTGGGATGTTTGACGATCCACGCGTCCACGAAGGTTCTGCTGAATTCCATTAATTGTCAAGAAGATGAAGAGGCTTCCATCCACACGATCGGTGTCGATAGAGCTAGTGTTGAGGAGGAAAGGGGGTTTCGAGTAGGTAGATTAACTACGGCTAGTTGCGCAGTTTGAACCGTTCCTGTCCTGGTTGGCCAGTTCACGCGGAATCGGAGCTGGAGGAGTCGTCTGTCTCAGCATGACGGTGACGATGAGGTGGGTCAGGAGCAACCGTCCAAAAGGCCCAGCAGGTCTTAGGGAGCAACTGTTGCCAAATGTGTGAGCTCAACAACAACCCCTTTTTATAACGGACATGGCCCCAATGGGCGGATCAACACTCTAAGCCCCAAATTTGTACGGGTTGTTTTGCATACAGTAGTCCAGCATGCAAGGTCGGCAAAGTTAGAACGATGTGTCATAAGGATGCATGCAAGAAGATGGCACCACTCACTGGCAACAGTAGCAGCAGCACAGAAAAAAAGGCTCCTCGGCGTCTGATGATGCGTGCACTTGTACATGTACCGGCACCGCTATACATGCTTGCGCTTCCAGTTCGGATCCACTGTTGCAGCACACCCATTCTATGTACCTGCCGCCGACAAACTAAACTAGCCAGACAGGAGAGGTAGATACACCAAGCAACCTGATTCTAAGTGTACACAGGATCACTCGGTCGGTGCATTCCTTTGGCTGATGGCTGCATTGTTGGCACCATTTACTAGCTAGTAGAAATCCTTAGTCCTTAGGAAACGCAGAGGTAAGAAGAGACCCCATAGACGATTAAAGACCTCTTTGTCTACACCTATTACTGCAATCACTACATTACAGTTTGTTGAAGTTTGTTATCTGAATAGACGGATCAACAGATCGAACTTGATGATCGAGCGACAGCCGAAAGGTCAGCAATCAAAAAAGGTGAAATCGAATCGAACCTTTTTTTGGACGGATTTGAGTGGAACCAAGACATCCACCTATCAACCTAAGAGTCCTCTACAAACTACCACTCCTACCAGCTGGTTCCAGCTTCTCACTCGGCTTCATTCAGGATCAGTGGAAGCGATCGCCATTGTCGATCCAATGCGGACGGCAGAAGATTGGAAGATAGCAATTTTCTCAGTCGTGCTGGATGATTCTGGAAACCACCCGCCGATGAACACCAGCAGGGAACTAGCCAATAAAGAACATCATCGAGCAATTAATTCCTGTCTGAAACCAGGCTTAGCATCCGTAAACGGATTGTGCTCACATTTTAAGGAATTTACACCGTCGAGTCATTGAAATCACAACCTTTCTCATCTGTCGTGTCCGAACTCGGAGCGACGAGGGAGGGCATTTCGATAGTTGCTAGGTCTTACCACTGAATCGAATCCGCCATCTTTTGTTTGGTCAGTGTGTATCTCATCTCCAATTTTGGAAGCCTTCCAGGGAAGATTATTCGACGGTCTGAAATGGCTAGCATCTAGATACCGCCCGTAGTGTACTGTAGCTTTCACAAGCCGCTCCTCGGCACCACGACGGCGACACAGGCGGCCAGTCCCAGCACAGAACTTGTGACTGGTGGGAGTCCTGCATGTACGGTAATAGGTACAACGGTTGCCCCGTCCATGATGGACGACTGCGAAGTTTGTTCAGCATGCTAACCACTCACCCAAGGACCCAGGAAAAGGTAGACTGCCTCCCCGTTGCTAAGGGAAGGACGAATGATGCTATATAACGAATACTTCTGACACTCCCCATCGTCCGAGTGCAGCACAGATACCGTATAGTACTACCTCCCAGGAACCAGTAGGCTTTTAAGCTGGGCTGTAGGGGGGGAACAAGAGACGTGGGTCTTGTCGGTCCTTAGAGCGGGGCATGAGTCGCAGACAGGCGGCTCCCAGAAGCACTGCAGCAGCCGTCTGCGACTCGAAGTCACAAAGTACCACAATTTGGGCTCATAACCTGCGAAGTTTGTTCAGCATGCTAACCACTCACCCAAGGACCCAGGAAAAGGTAGACTGCCTCCCCGTTGCTAAGGGAAGGACGAATGATGCTATATAACGAATACTTCTGACAACGACACATCCTTCGGAAGACAGATTACTGCCAACCACAGTTGGCTGGATGCCCGCCCCCCGGCCGGTTTAATGTGTTTCTTGCTGAGCCACCCATATTTTGCTAACAAGCAAAAAATTCCTTAGTTAGGTTTTCAATTTTCCCCGCTGGCTGAGGGTAGCCAACTTATTCCGCCGGTATCGGTTATGGGTATCGACACGGTGGACTTATCGTACTCAGAGTAGCCTTTTAAAATATAATTGTATTAATATTAATTACTTTTAATTCATAAACGTTGAAGCTTCCACAAAGGAAGCCAACAAGCATCTTTATAAATTGTATAATTGAGTTAACTAGACAGTGTGCATGGTTGAGTGACCCTCTCTTGTTGCGCCAGCTACAGCAAAGCACCCTGGATGAACAACACCAGACACATAGGTGTCCTTAATCATGAGCCCATTTCCATCAATGTAGTGACCATTCAGACTAGAGCTGTCCACAACTGTGCTTCCCTTGAAGTGCAGTTTTCGATATTCACAGATTGCATGGCCAAAGTACCAGAGGTCACCATCCACCTTGGCTCCCATGAATCGAGCATAATAGGGAAACATGGGAGTACCATAAAGGAGCAGTTCTAAGGAGTTTCGAATGCGGAAAACCCATGCATGGTTCATGCACCAAACAAGGATTGTTGAATATTTCTTGGGAGACCTAGTGGTTGTAAGCATCTCCAAAAGGCGTCACAAGACGCCATGATCAATCTTTTCTCTTTTGGTTGATTGCGATACAGCCAGTTTGCTATACACTTACGAAAAAGGGCATTTCCAAATCAAATGGATCTGGAATTGTGCTTGACCAGATATTAGAACTTAATTACAGGAATATAAACAGACCCAACAGATTGAGCAGTCACAGAGACTTTCACTCCTCATATGGCACGTTCCACTGTCCAGAGACTCTGTTTTGGGCCAGAAACATCACACTATCACCTATACTTCAAAACCATTCATCATGAAGTTGAGACCTTGGATATTTTCACTCCTCCTCATCATATGACCACTCGCACCGTGGCTTTGTATCAGCAGTTGAGGGAAAGAAAGATTTCAATGGACCATTTTCCCTGCCTTCTACAACAGCTCCACCTGCAATATAACATCCAGGATGGATAACCCCAGAAATGTAGACATCGTCTAGCTTGAGTCCATTGATATCAACATAGTGGCCACGAGGGTAGGCATTGTCCATGATTGTGTTGCCTTCAAAGTGGTAGTTACCAAACTCATCCAGAGTGCAATCGAAGAACCAAAGATCACCATCGACTTCTGCGCCCATGAAAAGAACATAGTGCTTGAAGAATAGTGTTCCCATTAGAAACACCTCAATTGGGTTCCCATAACGGAAGCCATTCATGTAAGAGATATAGACACGGAAGAATCCATTCTGAATAGAGGGAGGAAGCACATTTAGAAACGCCCACTCGAGAATCCTGGCAAGGAGAATCCAGACAAGAAACTGAAAGGCAACAGCCCCCACAATAATCAGAATAAGCACACTTGGAGAAGAGTTGCTTCCTGGAACTGCTGAAGCCAGCTCAAATGCAGGGATGATACTCCAAAAGATGATGGCAATCATAACCAAAAGAGCAACTTCAGGAAGAATCACTTCCAGGAGGATGAAGCTCCATGACACTATTAGTTGGGTTTTTGGAGGGTTCAAATCATAGATCTTGTCAGAGACCTGACTTCTGGATGGGATTTTTGATCGGACGACCTTAGCACCAGCATGAACAATTGTGTCTCTTCCAAGTGAGCTGTGGGAAATCTCAATTTTCTCCCCGGAGGCAGAGGGAATATCCAGTTCGATTTCAGTAAGAGCAAGAAAGGATTGACGTATCTTCACAAAATCTACCTTGGAAGGAGAAAAAATCATAGAGGCAGTATGGAGAATTGACACAGCATCAACATCAAGGCCATGGCACCACAGAGCTAATGTCTCAAATCGGGATCCTCCCATAAACTTGCCAAGCATCCAAGCAGCAATTCGAAAGTGGTAGTCACAGGCCCAGTTGGTTGCTCTTCTCCACAATGTCCCTCCATACTCCTTTGATGGATCTCTCTTTCCAATCAAGAGCCATTTCAAGAGGATACTAGTCACCATAGCAATCAATGAAGCCAGAGGAAACAGCAGGAACCAGTGCAGAATAGCTTGATAGCGCCATATTGGCAAGATTTCTTTGAGGATTGCATGGGCAAGGAAGTATAGGGCATAGTAATGGTAGGCTTCTGAAAACATCCAGAAAACTTTGAAAGCATCAAGAAGGGTTTCATTCCACCAGTTTGCCTCCAGACGGTTGCATGAACCGGCTTTGTGTGCTGGAATTCCTCTTGCAATGACACCATCTGGAACTTGAGCTCCTTCCTCCACCACAGTCAATTTCTCGACTATGGACCCAGCTCCAATAACAGCCCCAGGGCTTAACATCCCAGACACCTTGCAGTTTGGCCCAACAGTGATTGGACGGAATACCATTCTGGGACTGCCCTCGGTCCATGGCCTGAATTTTCTGCACCGTATAGCATGGCCAACTGATGAATTGGCCCCAACACTAACAAGATCACACTCTCGAATGAATGCATCAATTTTTGTAGACCATGCAATGTCAGCACCAAGCAGCCAGTAGAATAGCCAGGCAAACTTTGTCTCCAACAAGAATCTACCAACAAAAAGTTCCCAGACATGCATCAATCGATCAACAAACCACCATTTTAGGTAGTGCCTTGACATCAAATTGATTGCCTGGTGGCGGTACACGCCAACAACAAGAATCTTGCAAAGGACCACCATGATAGAAAAAGAAAGGCAAAATAGGGGGAACAGGAGTGGAAACCACAAGAAGCTGGTCTTCAAGCACTCTTGGTCTTCAGAGATGCTGCATTTGCTTGACAGTTTTGCTGCAACAAGATAATAGGGGAAAATGGAAGCCAACAGCACCAGTGTAATAGGTATAAATCCCAGACCTTGGACGAGACTCATCTCAAGTTTGCTGCACTGTGATCTGGGATTGTTCCAGTGAAAGTTGACATGCTCATCAGCTGATTTAGTAGGAAAGTGTTGGCCTTCTGATGAGGCCAGAAACTCTTCAAGCTCTTTGGGGGTTGGATAAAGCTGTGCAAAATTTGCTGGGAGGGCCACATGCAACTGTTCCTCAACCTTGTTCCTGAGCTCAGCACTATTGAGAGACGTGAGTCCATTCTCAGCCCATGATTTTGATAAGGCAACTTTGTAACCAAAGACAGATGCGATTGTGTTGGCATATCTGCTGGAGAAGTCATCTGGGCCCAAAGCACCAGCAACTGCAGTATCATACAGCCTGAGGTCTGCAGCTTTGCTGGGGAGGGCATTTGTTTGGCTAAGGTCAATGCCGGGAAGCTGCTCAAAATTCCAGTTACCAGTACTCACAGATTGCCTCATGATTTCATGTTCAGTTTCTTCATCCAGGTAAAACTCATTACTAGCAATGCCACGCATTGAAAAGCTCCTTTCAAGGAAAGATGAACGTTGACTTTTCTGAAGAGGAGTAACAGTTTCCTGCCTCTTGAATTGAAGTAGTATGGAAGATTCTTTCCAATCACCACCAACTGTTGTCAGCCTGATCTCACTCCTCTTCAGCTTGCCAGAGGTGGTCTTGGGTGTTACACCAAGCTTCAGCACAACAACCTCTGAGGAAAACAGCCCATGCACTTGGGATACATGGTTGGCTATTTGGACTGTCAAATCTTCATTTCCAGACTTGTCAAAGTCCTTGCGGCCTTCGACTGTGATACCAACACTGTCCTCCCCGTGTTGGAAGGCTGTGGTCCTGCCTGGACGGATAAGATCACCAAAGAGATCATCGATAGACAGCTCCACATCAGTTGGATAGTAGTTCTTTCCATTGATGATGATGACATCTTTGACTCTTCCAGTGACATAGAGCTGCCCATCCACAACCTTCCCCAAGTCACCAGTGTCAAGCCAGGTCCCATCATATTGGGGCAAAGCATTGGCAAATGTAGAGGTAGTAAGCTCAGGTTGTCCATAGTAACCGGCAGCCACACGTGGTGACTGGGCCCAGATACTCCCAACCTGTCCATCCCCAACCTCTTTTCCATCCTGTACAATTCGGAGCTTGAGGGTAGGGGAGGTTACTTCTCCACAGCAGACAAGACCTTCAGAGTCTGCAATAGCAGGTCCATTTGTAAGCCAGACAACTGACTCTGCAAGGCCATAGAGGTTGTGAACATTTCCTGGCTCGACGGACAGAGTCTCGACCACATCCTCTACAACACTTTGCTGGGTAGGTTCAGCACCAAACCCAGCAAACTTCAAACAACTCCAGTCAGCTGTTCTGTTGGATTTCTTTAATCGCTTTAGAAGCAAGGCGTATGCAAAGTTAGGGGCACAGGTATGCGTTGCTTGAAATGTCTCAATCATATCAGACCAAAGAACAGGTTTCGATAGGAAGTCCAGAGGTGAGGTCATGACAAGGAGGGCACCAGAATATAGGCAGGACATGAAACCACCCACGAGTCCCATATCTACAAGATTGAGTGAACAGATAAGCATCAACTTCTTGGCATGGCACAAGCATCAAGAATGTGTTTCTTCAAAACTTACCATGATATTGAGGGACCCATGATACAGTCACTGAAGTAGAAGTCATCTGGGTGGAAGTGCCAATGGCCCTGCAGTTCTCTGCAAGATTGTGGTGGGTGATCATGACTCCTTTGGGCCGTCCGGTGCTTCCAGACGTGTATTGGATAAAGCAGACTTCATTTGGTTCTCCCTCAAACTTCTCGTAATCTTTCGTCTTGTTGCGTTTTCGTTTCTTGATTGGTAGATTATCAGTTCCAATCCACTTCACTCCAGTCTTGTAGAGGACACTAGCTGCAGTCATGGCAGTAGCAAACATGTTAGTCGAGAGAGCATACTTGGCTCCAGCATCCTTGGCAAATCCACGGAACTTTGGTATATCAGTCTTGAGCTGGTTGGGATTGGGTGGATAGATGGAGCAAGGGATGACTCCAACCTTCATGGCACCGAACATGCCAGTCAAGAACTCTAGGCCGAAGGGATAGGCGATCATGACACGGTCTCCCTCTTGGCATCCCAGCTTGAGGAGACGAGCAGCAACAGCATTGGATTGGTCCTCCAACTGTTTGAACGTCATCTTGTTTTGTTCCTCACACTTGATATCAACCCAAGCAAAGGCAACCTTGTTGGGTGTCTCCAAGGCATGGTGGCTGAGGGCATCAAGGATGGTCGAGAAGAACTTCATTTTAACTTTGCTTGGCGGGGAAATATGAATTCAGGTTTGCCGATCACTTCTTGCCTCGAGCGAGAAACTCTTTTTTTCCCTGCTGTTTGTTGTTAGTGGTTCTATTCTCGGGACCTTGAGTAGGATTACTTGTACAGTGTAGGTTCTCGGGAACTTGAGTAGGATTATACTTGGAGTTGGTCCAGCTGTGACCTACCGTCATTACAAGCATCGCCAGCCATGAAACTTCGCTGTTAAATACTAGTATTTGGATTGTGTTTGTTTTCTTTTAAAATACTACTACAGTACTAGTGTACAGTACTCTAGACCGTCCGACGGTTTTAACTCAGGTTTTTAAAAACTGTTCAAATCGTGGTTCTCGTTAAGGGAATGTTAAGGGAATGTTGAAGCTTTAAGGGAATGTTAAGGGAATGTTGAGGATTTAAGGAAATGTTTTAAGGGAATGTTTATTTAAGGGCATGTTCATTTGAGATAAGGGAATGTTCTATGGGGTTTACATGAAGGCTTAAAGGAATGTTTCGAAGCCTTAAGGGAATGTTGTTAAGGGAATGTTGATTAAAGGGAATGTTAAGGGAATGTTGAGAATTTAAGGGAATGTTTTAAGGGAATGTTTAAGGGAATGTTTCCACTGCAATATTTTAAGTTTTTTTAAAACCTGAGCGAAAACCGTCGGACGGTCCTGTAAGAGACACCAGAGTAACCACTGAGCGACGTAGCCAAGAAAACTTGTTCTATTCGTACTGGTATCATACAGTACAGTACCGGTACTCTGCACATCACTCGCAAATCGCAAACGGTACCCCGCTTCCAAATTGAGCGGCGAAAAAAGAATGTCTGGCTGCATGTCTCTTGTTCCTGATTGTTCTTGCCACTTTCAGAAAGGGAAAGTAAAACTGTCGAAGCCAAGGACGCGGACAACCGTGGAGAGAGGCCCAGGATGTCAAGGACAGCAACATTTGAGCTCCTCATTGATGTACGTGTATGTATCGTCTTTGCCTCTTGATGAGGATAGTGGTAGGCACTACATATTAGTAACATAACCTTGGCAGAAGCGGCCGTGGTGATGCATTACCGACGAAACTCGTCATGGGATGTCAAGTACCGGTAGGTGGTCGATGCGGTTTCGGTGCGGTCCTTATGATGCCGCCAGCATTAACTCCTTAACGTATCTATTTAGTATTTATTTTCTAATTGCTTGCAGGTATATGTAGACCTACTCTCTACGGTGCACGAGTGTTTTTCTCTTTGCTTCCTAATATGGACGCGACCAACGAGTTGGCCATACAACTACCGTATAGTACCAGGTACCGCACATCCACAAACGCAAACAAAACATGGACTACCATGCACACACTTGAGAGGGTCAAACGTAGTATTTCCAGCCAACAACGATCGAAGGTCTATCAGATCCTGATGGGCCCTTCCAGCTAGAATTGCTATAGTTAGGGTACCGCACTGATGCATGAACTTTCTCGCGGGCCCAGTGCGCTCAGAACTTGGTCGACTGGGTTTATTATCATCGCTGCAGCTGTTTGCGCAGGACCTTACGGGAAACACCCCCTCGGAAGTTGGGCTATTGCAGGATCTCAGGTCATTGGCGTTTGTATGCATAGGTACGTGGAAGATGGCTTTTTCGATTTGCATTGTACCGTCGAACCTGAGTCTAATCATATCATTCAATATCGGGCAATCTCTTTTCCGGTGAGATCCTGATGGGCCCTTCCAGCTATAGAATTGCTATCCGGTAGGGTACCGCACTGATGGATGACAGTATTGGAGAAAAATACCTCGGCAGTCTTGCTGCCAGAGCCCTGAACCCCTTTACCTCGGCAGTCTTGCTGCCAGAGCCCTCAACCCCTTTAATTGTTTTTCCTGCTACGGTGGTCCCTGCAGATATAAGGGTAGGGTTAGAATACAAATAAGTCAGCAAAAACTAAATAAGTATCCTAGGATGGTGCTTTTAAACCAGCTACAGCTATTTACATGCATCCTAGTAGGGGGGTCTGCTTCTACCAGGAAAAACTCTAAAGCTAGCAAAAGCTATATAACTAGTATTCTAGCTAGCTTGGGGTATCTGCTTCTAGCTTGCTATGGGAATCTGCTTCTAGCTAGGGGATCTGCTTCTAGCTAGCTAAGCGCAAGTTAAGCACTAGCTAGCTAAGCACTACAGGTATCTGCTTCTAGTTAGCTAGCTAATAGGGGTATCTGCTTCTACACTGAAACCTTTCTGCCGAGGTTACACAGCTCCGCTGGCTTAAATTGTTTTTCCTGCTACGGTGGTCCCTGCAGTTATAAGGGTAGGGTTAGAATACAAATAGGTCAGCAAAAACTAAATATTAAGCCAGCGGAGCTGTGTAACCTCGGCAGAAAGGTTTCATTGTAGAAGCAGATAC